ATAATTTTACTCAATTGGATTCTAAAATTTTAAAATCAATTATGCATGTGCGAATTAAAAAAAATATACCAATAAGTTCAACAAATATAATAATACTATATTAATTTTAACTAATAATGTGAGTCACAACGGTTATGTCTCATCAATATCATATTTTCTTTTATGTATCACAATACTATTAACCCTTTCTAATATAGTCCAAAATGACTTCTGTAATTTATCTTCTCAAAATAATCCTATCATCATATTCAATTATTATTATTATTATTATTATTATTATATATATATATATATATATATATATATATATATATATATATATATATATATATATATATGTGAACAGAATAACAAAAATAAATAACTTTAAGTATACAAGGAAGAATGTCAATTATAATATCTACTCATCAACATATTTTTTATAGGTTGCTCACAAACTGAATCATAAGAACATGTTCATTCAAACACATTAGACTGTAAATCTTAAGTAAATAAACCAATAATCAATATAGAAGAACTCAAGTTATTAATTAACATTAGTTGTTTCTATTTTTTTTTCTATAAATATCAAGTATTTTATACCATAATACATAGAGTTACAATAATACTTGTTTAGAGAAGAAGACTACTACAATATATCACAAAGTATCTTCAACGACTTGGCAATTGAGTTCGATCATACCAAGTCTTAAGATAAAATTTCGCAGTCATAAAAATCAATTAGTAGCCTCAAAGTATGTCACCAAAATAATTTTTATTAATAATAATATAAAAATATATTATTTAATCGATTGATGTGTTATGATACGTGATAGATATCCTGACATTGATGTACTTATTCAATAAGCTAAATTACCAATCGAAGATTTCACTTGGTAGTCTTACAAAGTATTAAAGAAGAAATTTTTAAAATTTATCGTTGCTCAACCTTGAGGACAAGACTATTTTGGAGAGGCAGAAAATGTTAGGAGTCTTTAATTTTAGAGATTTAATATTAATCTTTATTTTTCTATCTATTTTTTCTAATTATGGTTAAAGTCCTTTGATGTAGCCAATTAAGGATTATTAGTTTTATTTATTTCCTTTGTTAGAAATCCTAGTCTTAGCTGATTAGGGATTAAATAATTATATATATGTAATATCTTCGGTTATCTTTTTTAAGTAATTAAATATAATTCAAAGCCTTTGACCAATTTGAAGGTTACTCCCCTCGATCAAAAGAAGGTTGATCCCCTTGAAGTGATAAAATTTCTATCTCTTTTTTTAGTATAAGACATTACATGGTTATATCTTAACATATTATCTATAAATATGATAAAATGTCTTTCTTCACTAAAAAAAAAATTTAAAAGTAACCCGTAGATATAAGCATACATAATCTCAAAAAGTTAATGAAACTATATTTTATCTAATATTAGATTATAAGATCGTTATAAACTCAAGATTCATATTAATTTTATATACGCTATCATATAGAATTTAAAGGTTAACTTTTATTGAACCATTGCAACCACTATGATAGAAATAATATCCTAACAATTCTAGATAAAGAATTTAAATTTTTATAATTGTAAGAATATATCATATATGCTCAAGATTCATCAAATAAATCTTAGGCGTAGGCGATAAATACAAACTATTATCACTTTCACCTAAATATATTTGCTTATAACTATGAATATTTTATTCTCTTTTGATTTTCATATTAAAATGAATCTTTATTATTGATAACATATGTTGAAGCATCATAATCAATGTATCAAGTATTAGAAAAAGATTTCTGTAATATTTAATTTGAAATATACAAAAGTCAGATTTATACAATTCTGTTTTAAACCAAACCTTATAGTTGTTCTTCACATAATCTTTCTTTCCACACAAATAATTCTTTACTGTGAAGATTTTATAAGTTTAAATAATATTTATAAACTCAGACAATTTATACTTTAATTTTTTTTTATTGTTAACCACTCATTGAGTAGTACTTAAAATATTATGAGTCTTTCCTACTTTAATCTTAATTCTTTCTAAAAATATATAATAATTAGCTTATTTAAGTTTAACTGACTCTTAATTTTATTATAATAAATTTTAAATGAGTCAAACTAAGAAGAAACATATGCAAAAATAAATTTTATAAAAAAGAATTCAACTATTCTCATGCTTAATATTCTTAAGTCTATAGTTTTATTAGCCATATTGAAAATATAAATTTGAATTTCTCTATACTGAATATCAATCGGTCCTTTCGTTAATATGTCAACTAATGAATTATTAACAAATTTAAATTAAATTTTAAAATATTTTAGCACACTAATTGTAGACTGTAATGAAGTCTAAATATTATTAGCAATTATCATAACCGAGTCTTTTATAGTTTTTCCAATTAGTCATCTAAATTATTTGTTTCATGAAATTTTCAACAGTAAATTGCATATGCTCAAGTTATTTATAATCTAAAAAATATATGGATATTTATAAGAATACAATGAAGTGTCATTATAATAAAATAATATTTTAAAATTTTCATATAATGTTGAACTATTCATCCAAAATTATTTATAGAGGATTAATATTATTCTCGTTGAATAATATTGCTACCAAAGATATCTAAAAAAACCATGATATGATATTATTATGTAAAAAAAATTAATGTTAAAATTTGAAATAAATTAATAACTGATCTAAATTTATGATGCATACCTTTTAAATAAAACTTTCATTATCGATAATCACAATTAAAATATAATCGTATTCATAATATATTTTATTTAATTAGACACATTCATATAATCTAAGAACTGAATCAAATCATCAAATCAAATCATGTTCTATACGCCTGCGTTCCCAAAGTATCTTCTAATTTGTATTAGATGCGGCCGAAAGGAGAGCAGCGGCACGTACCTTGCGCCATTGTCTCCTAAACCGTGAAGCCAGACGACGGTGGCCCGATGTCTGCCCTTCGGCCAGGCAACGTAAGTCCTCCCGTAGTCGACATGCCTCCTGGTCGCACTCCTCGAACCTGCATTCGATTTGCATGCGTTATGAACGTGGAAGAGAACACGGACGAGGCAGTGGAGCGAGACAAAGCATAGGGGACGAAGGCTAACCGGAGGCGTACGAGCTGCCGGCGCGGTACATTTGGATCACCGTCCTGTGCGGGGAGCGCTGGTGATGTTGCATGCAACAGGCTTGCCTGCGGTGAAGACGAACCACTCCATTGACCCGTATTTATAGCAACTACTGGTGGCTAGTGGAATGGTAGAGGAAACCAGGAATCCGCATCCCACCACAGGGCGGCTCACGGCTACGGAGCAGTTCTTTTGGAAAGGCCTAATAGATCGGAGTAGAAAGAGGGACAAGCAGCACCCAAGTGGGAAAGGTAGAACGAGCATGGCAGAAAAGGCACTGAAGCTTTCTTTCTTGCAAGCAGAGAATCTCTAGACGGGCAGACCATCGGCTCTCTCGCACGAGCCAATACGATACGAACTCGGGACGGAGAAAAGGAAGTAGTAATGCTGCGGATTTGCTCGTGAGAATCAATGCTTCTGCGACGAAGTGGAGGGGTGAATCAGTAGTAGCAGCAGCAGCAGCAGCAGCAGCCCCAGCATAATATCTTCTCGTATAAGATAACCCATAGATAGAGTCGCCCTTCCATTGCTCGTGTTTCCTACAAGAGTAGTATCCAAGAATTATCTTATCATCTCGTCGCAAACACTTGTCTCAAGATAAAACGATCGTGAGAAAAGTTCTCATTTTGGGAATTTTTTTTCTAGCAAAGGATCTTCACTTTTAGAGTTCCTTTTTGATCGAACGTTTAGAGAACCTCCAATCAAAATAGGGGTGCAGAAGTCAAACCATGGTTCGGCTGCTTGTGATGAGCAATTTATGCTGGGCTCGGAATATGTTCCTCCTCCTCTCCATCTCTTCTGTATTAATTTCCTTGCGTGAAAGGTAGAATCCATGTCTTGTCTTGGAAGATGAGGGAAAAGGAAGCTGCAGCAGCTTCTCTGCGTGAGCTACCGACCACTGTGCAGTAGGCTTTATGTACTACCATGGAAATGACCGATGCTCTGTTTAGGGTGTGAGCGATGCGCAAGCCATCCGCCGGTGCTCTGTTTAGGGTGTGAGCGATGCGCAAGCCATCCGCCGGGCTTCCGTTGGCTACTGACGCACCAAAAGAGGGAGAGATGCCCCCATCCAGAAGCAGCATCTTATCAGAATACCGATGGGTTCTCCATTATGTTAACCCGACCAGACCAAGACGATTAATGCTACTGGTAATCGGGTGCCCTAATTCACGTTTATATATAACAATTCAGATATCTCCTGTTATATATAACTGTTCAGATATCTGCCGTCATAAGTAATTACGTGACGTGAATTATCTAATTATTCAGATTAACAAATATTTTAAGATTTTTAAAATCAATATCTTTATAATCTTAAATTTCAGGATTATATTTGATAAGACATATTTTTTGTTCAAGGCACGTTATAGCCGATGTCATACGTCAGATCAGAATCCGTACCAAAACGCTGCTCGGCACGTCTCGTCCCGGGAATCCCGAGACAACGTAGCCCCCAAGATACGACAAGTCAGAATCCGTACCAAGACATTGTTTAACACGTTCACCACGCCAACCCGCGTACGACCGACCCTCGTACAATAGTATAAAAACCTCTGACCGACATTTGGTCTAGGGGAGAAAAAATAATTTCACACACAACTGACTTGCTCGTGGGCCAAAGTTGAGAATCACCCGACGAAAGTCTTTTTTGCAGGAAAGCGATCACCCCCGAGCCACGAGCGCCTCAACCCAAAAATCGTCATCCAGTGAACGAGGGTGAACTATCATCTATCCCGAGAACGGAGAGACGCAGCTCGACGCAAACGACGCTCGAACCAAGAATCTAAACATATATATATATATATTAAGGTGAAGACTTCGTTCTGTGCACTGATCTCAAAGATGTCAATCTTATTAGCAACACGAATATTAAATAATGATGCACGCAAATCAAACATTAGGAGAAGCGTTTCGTACGCATAAACATGAGATTGTAATCCGCAAGCACAATTAACACTGGCCATTTCAGCAATGAAAGAAATGGATCGCTTAGCACGAGACTAATCAATCTGCTCCACATCAAATGTAAGATTGTTGAATTCATCAATCAAGTTCAAAAGCGGATGGTTAAAATAACTCAAAATGATTCAAGACAAGGACTGCTCACAACATAAAGGTTTTTGAGTAGGATCTTCTAGTCAAATAAATAAATCATCATCGTCATCAGGAAGAGGTTGGGCAGCAGCTGCAGCCAACTCCGCTTCATGTCTGGAACAAACAAATAGCAAGTTAGTTCGATGATCCATGTTATCATATACATTCAATAGCTTCATTGTCAAGTGGCATAAGGAAGAGCTGGACACAGTGGGGTCTTGAACTTGCTATGAATACGTAAGTGCTGAAAATTGTTTTAGATGTTAATGGCAGTTCTCGGTGATTTAAGGTGACAGAGTTAACGGCATTGGATATGGGTCATGATATGCATACATTAATAAGATTGATGATTAGGTAAAAAAAGACAAACAGTAATCATATACAACACAAGGACAAGGTCATTTGACTATACGTAAGATATGGTATAAAATAGATCTTAACAATTTTTAGGCAATTATATATGCAATTTAAAGATACGACAACTACAAAGCATTTTAGAAATAGATCTCGGTAAGTGCAACATGCATTAAAATGGTCATCTCGGTAAGTGCCCCTTTCAGATACCCCTCAAGTCTCCAAAAAAAAATAAGAAATTTAGATTGACTATTCAAAAACCAAACATGTGAACGAATATATGTGACTGACTCATATCCAGAAAGTGACAACCAGTAACCAATCCAATAAACATGTAATTAAAATTTCAAAAAGTGATTTGAGTCATAATAAAATAATCAACTGCACTTACTGTTGCTGTGCGACAAGGTCAATCTGGACTTCCGGAGGCGCAAGAGCAGGTGATTCGACAAAGTGAAGGTTTTGGTCCCTGCAAATGAATTTGTCATCAGTTTTACCTTATAGAGATATCTCAATGTAATCCTTACACCATAATAGCATGCATTTACCCAGCAAGTTTTCTAGCAAGATAAAGGAAGGGCTTCTCAAAGTTGTAATTGCTCTTTGCCGAAATCTCATAATATTGAAGGTTCTTCTTCCTGTGGAATGTAACTTGCTTTGCTTTAACCTGCCTGTTCTTCACATCAACCTTGTTTCCACAGAGAACAATAGGAATATTCTCACAGACCCTGGGTTTCGAGACAAATAGGATAGTTACACATTTTAAATTGTAAGTGACGAGAATTTTGTGCTCATTTAGTTCAAAGTGTCTTGTCAAAAGACCTGCATAGATCCCGGTGCCATGTCGGAACATTTTTGTATGTTAACCTGGCGGTGACATCGAACATGATAATAGCACATTGACCATGAATGCTGTCGACAAATGAATTGTAGCAGTCAAATAAAGACAAAAATAATCCATGCAATAACAATTACTGCAAATCATTAATGTGACTAATCACATTGGCAGCCAAAAGGTGACAAACAATTTTGTGCATCCTCAAACAATAACAGAAAATATGATCTTAAATTTATAAAAAAAAATCCAATTAGCAACCTTGTCACACCACAATACATCATCTTAAATGAGAGGACACAGTTTCCATAATCCAAAAACTTACTAGTCAGACACCCAGAAAATATTGCATCACAACATTTTCTGCTCTATCTCATTGGTTATTCACATTGTAGCTTGCATTACAACATATTTAGTTCTATTTGACCACTTATGATCCTTAGCATTATGATCAATTCCCATAACAAATTCAAAACATTCATATTTCCAATGCATCTACTAATCTGGATTGCACAAGAGCAATAATGTAAGAGATCTCAAATAATTTTGCAATCACGTCCAAATAAACAAGACCAAGTGCCGCATTTTAAGTTGTTACAATGTAACATCTATGTAGTTTCAAATGTAATTAGCCTTCTTCTCGTGCAAAAATTCTCTTCTTATTCTTGACTATTTATAGACCAAGACACAGGGTAACTTGAATGCCCAACTATTGGCTTCTCAAAATCATGGTACCTATTCATTAATCTTTAAAGTTCTACATTAACAATTTATCTTTCCTCCATCTGAAATAGATTTTAGAAGAAAGGAGTCCACAAAAAGTTGAAGAAAATGATGTTTCTCCAAAACATACATTATAACTATCTAGCACAAATAACTGAGCTTCCAAATAGTAAGATAAGTCATGCATCACATAAGCAACAGTACTATTTGTAAGTCTTTGTATCGGCTAATGAACCTGAATTGGGTACAATGTGGGCTAAGTTAACAGATTAGGAAGTAATTTAGCATTCAAAGCGGGCTAACTAATAAAATAAATACCATAAGATCTGTCTTTTAGAAAATAGAAACAGCAACAGGTGCAATACATCTATTGACTAGAAAGCACATCTGTGACCACATTACGATCAAACTAAAAATAGAAGGGCCAACGACATACTAGTATCCATCCCTGAGACCACCAAATTTCTCTTGGCCAGCTGTGTCCCAGCAATAGAATCTGATCTTCCCACAGTTTGTAAAGAAATCCAACGGATGGACCTCAACACCAATGGTAGCTAAAAAAATCCAAGACAATTTTATACATAATCAGCAACCAAAACAAATAAGAAATGTCTGAAGATTTGCCATGATACTCACGCTCATACTTCTTCTCGAATTCACCAGTAAGATGCCTCTTCACAAATGTAGTTTTCCCTGTGCATAGCATAAGCAAAGCATAGGATTAAGTGCAAAAGCAGAGATATAAGAATTAATTTCTTCTTTCAGAAAGATGCAAGATTTTATTTTTAAGATCACTGTTAAGGGAAGCGAAGACTATGAATCAAAAAGAACGTTTATTTGTTGCGTTACTATAACAAATGGGAGAGATAGATTCCTGCCAATTCTCAAGTCCCAGTTTATAATCTGATCGATGTTATGCACAGTGATTAACTAATAGCGAATACCAAAAAATACATCAAATTTAACAGGCATTGATAACAACAGGATTAACAATAAATTCCAGCCACGTCGCTCGAAAAAGACAAAAAAATCAGGAATTTCATGCATAAAAATATTTAAAAAAAAGAACACGGCAAATTTGTTCCGATATGTCTATGCGATTGATTAAAGCAGAAAGACCATCATTTCTAGCAATGAGAATAAGTACAAAGAAACTCATTTGTGGTCAATAAATCAAAAGGCAAAGGGTTAAATATATAAAAGGAGACGAAGAACTGGAAATTGCACCAGTTCCTCCATCACCAACGAGAACGAGTTTAAAGCTCGGGTAATCGACAGTTTGCTGGTTCGGCAATGCCTGAAAATGATAGCAGAGATCAGAAAGGCAAACATATACCCCACAGGTCTCCAGCTAATAGAAGAATAACAGAGGAAACGGATCTGAAACCCACCATAAGAACACTTCTAAAAGGGGAAGTACGAGAACGAAAGCGAAATGTGGAGAACGGACGTATATAAATTTCAACAGCGACGCCAAACCCTAAACGGTTCACAGATTTCCGTTTCCCACCCCATTCGGCTTCATTTGAACGCGACTCTCTCGGCCGTCGGATTCTTTGATCGCGCCGCTTTGATGAATAAGTATTTAATCCGAGCGACGTACGTCCGCCTCTTCTTGTCTTCTCTTTCCTTTTCCACGGACGGTCGCGTCCACGTGCGTTTATCTCGATAATTTCAGAAAATGGGTCACCTGTGATCACGGCGGTTGCGTTCGAACACGAATCTTAACTCGTTCTCAATGGACAGATCTTAACTTGTTTCCGGGGCGAGTTACCGAACTGTTCTGCGTTGGATGCGATCCACGTTAGCCGATTTTTGAGATTCACGAATAACTTGATTCACTGACATAAGATTCGTGCTTGAGGCCATTGTTTCTGAAGGGGAGGGTTTCGGATCCTCTTTTGTACGTTCGGTGTGATCCGCGTCCGCGGTTCTTCGAGATTCACGAAAGAGTGAATAACTTATTGACGGATTTAAGATTCGTGCCAGAACCAAGCGTGCTCTCCCATCACGGAAGGTTCTTCGTTACCCTATGCCTTGTTGTGGCTGAGACAGCTCCCGGTGTACCCCATAAGAGCCCCCGATTAAACAGATCCGGAAAACGACGGCGATACGTGGCTTACAGCCGAGCGGCGGCGTAGACAAGCGGAGGCGAGGAGACGGTCCCCCCTGAGCCACTCCTTCCCTTCCTCCTAATCTCTCACGCTTCGCCAGCGGCGGCGGATAATCTCACGTCCTATTGTAACACCTACCGGGGCTCTTTTCTTGAATTCTCATTGTATCAACCCACCAGCTGTCAATTCGCACGGCAGCAGCATCTTTATAAACGTATGGTTTTTTCGCTTCTGATGATACATCAAAAGTCGATACAGTTTGAATAAGCAATTTCTCTACGATGCCTAGGAAATGAATACGCTTTATCGCCCTGTGAAGTCAACCGCTCAGTTTGACATCTTTGGGCTTTGGCTGGCTGTAGTCCGAGGAGAAGCAAATCTAGAAGTCGCAGCAGTTCGTGGCGACAGATTTACTTGTTCGAGAGCACGGCACTGAAGCTCGGATGGATAGTCCCTCACGCAGGCGATCCGCGGCCCTGTCCCGGTTGCCCACTTGAAAGATAGCTGCTTCCCCAGCTGACACGACGTCAGCCCTTTCTTTGAGTTGATCCTTCGAAGGATCAGCTCCGACGGTATGGATGTTTCTTCCTCCTTTTGTTGTGCGGCGTCAGAGAAGTCTCGTTCGCATCCTTCAGGTTTTTCTTCCTCCGAACTGATACTCTTTGACTCTCTCGGGTTATTTGTCTCCTCGCCTGCTTCTTCTTCGGTGTCCCTGAGGACTCCCTTGCGCTGCAGGTCGTCATTCGAAGAGCCAGTTCTTGCATCGTTGCTTATCTCTCCAGTAGATGCATGAGACAATTGTTCTTCAGGTTGAGGGTCGATGGTGATGTCATCAGGCAAGTTTATGTCAGAATAGCTGCTTCTGTGACCTCTCCAGGGCAAATCATCGCCTTCGGTGGGACTTCTCTGTAGAAATGCGAAAAGATGTGGTTCCAAGGTATCATACTGGAATCTTAAAACGAAAAAATCTCATTATGATCGACGAGTGATGTGCTCACCCTAACATCAGTTAGATCGATGCCGATTTCTTGAAGAAAGCTCATGAACTCCTTGAAATTCTCTTCTGTGGGTTGGTAGTGCCCACTGTGAGGCCACACGGCCTGCCAAATGCTATGAAATGAGCATACTCGTAGACAGATATGACGTCAACAAAGTTCGAATTGTCCTACCGAATCATCTTCGTACCTTAAGAACCCCATTCTCCACTACTAATCTT